TTGCGGGCCCCAGCCCCGGGTTGCGGCGGAAGCGGAAGGGCCGGGCAGCACAAGCAGCGGCAGCAGCGAGCGGTCGGTGCCAGCGGTGAGTGCGGGAGCGCGGCTGAGGCTGTGGGGTTTGTGGGGCCGCCTTATCGCCCCCATGGCCCCCGCACCGGGCGGGCCCGCCCTGCGCCGCCGCGATAAGGGGCAGTGGGCGCGCTCCGCGCCTCTGGGGGAGCCAAAGCGCTGAGGGGTTGCCCTGATCTGTGCAGCAGAAGGTGCTTCAGTAGCAGCCACTTAAGTGTTGCTCTTACGTGCCTATTTGCATATCTATACATATTAATGTGATGTATAGCTATGGGTGTTTTACTGCTGGAAGGCTTCTTGCTTTAGGTTAAAAATGAGTTGTAGYTATGGCTTGATGCACGGGTGTAGTTTGTTCTTGTTATTGATGCATCCTCTAAGCCTTACACTGTCTTTGAATTACTTACTTTGAGCTACATTTATTATGCGAATATGGGTGTAGGCTGGTGATGTTAACCATCATAACCACATCTTACTTGTCCAGAATTAGTTTGCTTTTATGTTTGTTTTAGTCTCTGCGCTTCTAAGAAGAGGCTTCGAGCTTTTTAATGAACTGAGTAATTATGGCTAACATTATAAATGTGGTTCTCCAAATCTCCTGCTTTAGGGAAGAGTCTGTGTGGAAAGTGTTAATTAATATATTTTCTTCCATTCTGTTTGTCATTCTGATGTGTTCATTCTTCTAGAGGTTGTAGTTCAGATTTCCCTGCAGTGTTAATATACAATATTAGATGAAGCAAGATGGTTCTTAAAAATTTGCTGATGCTAGTTATTGATTAAACCTGTACCTTGTCTTCTGGTCTGAACTCTTACCTTTAAGATGATTGCATAACATGGTTGCATAAAGCATATGGTCTTTGTCTTATTTGTATTATAGGCCAAAGTGCCTATAATATAAAGCCTGAAGTTTGTTGTTTYGTTGGATGATGTAAGAAAATGTCTTTACTTAGGCAACTAAATTTAGCACATTTGCATGTAGCTGGCTACAAAATGGCTATGCAAGCTCAGAGAAGAGAATATTATTGGCACCATCATTCTGCCTTCTCTGACCTCCTACCCCAATAAAACAGATGTACACCCACAGTTTGCTTCACCAGTGATTGTCTTCAGCACCAATATCTGGACTTAGCTCAGTGCAAATCCAGAGCTATTGGTTTGGTGTAATTATTACATTGCATCAGGGGGTGCTGGCCCATTACAATCCTGATAAGAAAGGTACTCAAAGTATCATCTCAAATGCTGTTTATAGAGCTAGCCCTATAAAGAATGAGGACAGTGGTGRTAGTCATGCATCCCTTCAGGTTCTGGGAGCCCCAAGTTCTGCAGCGTTGAGCAGACCTCGCACAATGTGCAGACCCTGTCTGCAGGGTTACCCTGTTTTAGTCACTTGAACTGCAAGGTATTCTTTTACGAGAAAACACCTCTATTCATCACTTCTACTGTCAAACAGAAAGGATGCTTGCAGGAGAACTTTCTGCCTTTTTAGATAAAGGAAGGACACATAGGTGGCATAATTGCAGGTACAAAGTGTGAGCTGCCTGCAGACTCCCCTGTCACAGGTTGCTGCTGAGCTTATCCTGCAGCTTGTGCAGCCCACAGCACAAGGCTGTGCATGAAGTGCAGCTCAAGACAAGCCTAAACCTACTGAGGTTGACTGTTCCAGGGATCCTCAGCTCCTTGTCCAGGAGGAGTGGACAGTGGCCTTCAGGTCAGGATCACTCCAACTGCTCTTGTATGTCTCTCTAAAAAACAAGTGTGCTGTTTGCTGTCTACTGTTAAATCTACAAAAGTTTGGCTTGRGAAGTTAAGCAAGAAGTTGAAAGTATAAACTCTGTGTGAACACATCCATCAGCTGGGACCTAATTATCTGAGGAAAATGACAAGAACACTGAGAARGCAGAACTATTTTTGGACAGGGCTGTACGAATGCTCTACTTTGAAAGCATCTATTCCTCCTACATATTCAGATATTCAACCAACATTGCRTGCTTCTACTCTTGGTTATTTTTGTTGTTGTTTTTTCTTAAACAAGTAACATTAATGATTTTGGATGTGGCAGAACTTGGGAAGTAACTTCCTCAGCTTCTGCTGAAATCAGCTGGCCAGCTTTGGAGCTTATCCTGAGTGCAGTTTTTTTAAACTGTTTGAGCAGAAACATAGATTGTGAGGATGTTGGAACACACTGTAAGCCCTTCCTTTTTGATAAAAAAACTTTGCTGTTGTGAGCAGAAAACGCAAATTATTGCAACTTACAGAGTTCTGCAAAACTGTTTTTTCTTTTTATTCTCTAGGCAAAAATGTCTGCAACATGCGACTTCATTACACTCCACACTGGGCAGAAGATGCCTCTCGTGGGACTGGGAACTTGGAAAAGTGACCGTGGCCAAGTAAGCAGGGGACAATAGGATATGGTGCTCTCAACTAGTGTGTGATTTGTCCACCTTGTCTTGAAGATCCCAGATCTGAGGCCTGGATCCTTTGCTTGAGCGCTCTAGTCTTGAGTCCACTGAAGTGAGTGGAATTGGAATGTATGCATATGTGAATTTGCATGACTATGGCAGCAGATCCTTCCACAAAGGRAGATCCCTTCAGAATTGTTAACCCTGCCCTCAGGCAGTGGTGCTCTGGGACCTAAACCCAGAAAGACACCAATGAATGCTATTGCTATAATATAGTGCCAGGATCTTCCACTGTGAGTCCTCAAGCTGCCAGTCTGACCAGACACCCCTCTGGCTTAGTCTGATGACTCAGGAGAATGCATTATTTTGGGAGACAGGARCTCAAGTTGTTCTTGTAATAAGTCCTGTTCCAGCAGCCAGCCAATGGTTAGCAGGAAAACAAAGAAATTGCTTGGGTCAGCCTGCCTGTAGAATAAGACGACTCATGTATCATAAGCCATTCATTCTGCTTGTGAATKCAGTGAATTGGCAAACACCACTCTTGGAAACAATTCTGTGTGTTACTACAAACAGTGTTACTACAAACAGTCTGTGGGAATGTTTGCATGCTCTGCGGTGTGCCTGCTATTGTAATGCTTCTTGCCCTTGTCTGTCTTTTCTCTTTCATTTAGTTAAAAGATACCTGATTTGGGAAGAAATTGTATGTACTTCCTGTGAAAGGCAATGCCCACTGCTTGGTGAAATTCCTAGCTGGTATTCAAAGAATTGTGAAATCACAGAATGGTTTGGGTTGGAAGAAATGCTAAAGACAGTGTAGTTCCAACCCCCTTCCGTAGACCAGGTTGCTGAGAGGTCAATCCACCCTGACCTTAAACATTTCCAGGGATGGGGCATCCACAGTCTCTCTGGATTATGCACACCACTGTATGTCTGTGCAGAAAATTGCTATTTCACTGCTATTCTTGTTTGAGCTTCATGGTTTTTGGAGTATGTTGGATGACATTGTGCTCACAACTCAGAGGGAAAGTTAAAACCCTTCTCAAGACATGTTATTCTCTTGTGCCAGCTAGAGGAAAAAATGGGAAACAAGCTATGAAAATTAAATCTATTCAGAGCCATTTTACTGAGCATTTTCCTATCCAAACAGCTGTCAGGACAGTGGATCAGTTTGGAACAGAAATTGTACTAATGTGGAAGCTGAATTGGTGTGAAAGCTCAGTCAACCTCTTAAATGAGGAAAAGGGTGAATGTGCAGCTTTGCCACTTAAAACATCAACTGTCGGCTGAATTAAGTTTATTAACGTGCACAAACTTAATGGATTAATTTCTGTGCACTCAAAGCAGTTAAATGTGCTTTGTCTAAAGCAAATGTCTGAAACTAAATAAACAAAATATGAATGTGTTGTTTATTCTGTGAACTAATTGTTGTGAGAAAAGTGTGGCCTTAGAAAGGAACCGGGACAGATCTATTTGTGCATAATTTATACCTAATTCAGTTGGATTTTGCCATAATCAGTAGTGCTACTGGCAGCTGAACCCCACACAGGATCCAGCCATCTTCTCTGGGTTTCCTTGGAAGTGATTGGTAGTCACTTTGGAATATCTGCTGTTTTCAAAGATTCACTTGTAGAATGTACAAGTAGAAAGCAAAATCTAGGAAGTGCAGTGAAAAGGGCCAGAGTTACAGAAATTGCTGCTATTCCTATGGAATAAATAAWTTTCTGCTTATCACTTTTGAAAATTCAGGGGCATAGCAGCAATTTGGAAGTGTCCAGATGATTTATCCTCAAAAGGGCGTGATCTAGTTCAGGGATAATAATTGGTGTTATGAATTAAAGAGCAGAACCAAAAAAGCCAGAGAAGCAGAAGAATTAGTATGGTTTAAATTTAGTCTAGTTGTTTTCCAAGTAGAGGCTATTTATCAAAAGCTCTTTTGTTCAAAGGCTGCATTAGAAGCAAGTGTGGAAATGGATGGCTTTTAAATTATTTCGAGTAAATATTTTGTAGATTGTAATTCTTTCCCTTGCCAAGCTTGGGTAATTTCTTTATTACTGCTGTTACTGTTCCTGATTGTGAACAAGCTGACCTTGTAGACAGATCTTAGCAGTCCAGTACAARGGTGTCATTGCAGCCCTAGCTTCCTAGTTACTAAGAACAGGGGGAAAATAATTGGATCTAAACCCATTTCAAAAGACTATAGGATTTTATAGGATTGACACTGTGTAGAATAGTAGGATGTTTTGTGCTTTACATGATCAAATGTAAARAAGAGAAGAGAAATTTGTTTTGCATGTTTCCATAGGAATATGATGGAAGGCTGTTGAATGGAAAGGAGCACAGTACAGAAGTTTATGAGCTGGCAGCATGAATGAGTTCAAAGGAAAATCCATTCAGACAGGAGCTTCAAGAATATCAGCAGCCAGGCTTTTTGATATTGCAGCTGGATTATCTTTAATCCTTTAATGCTTTGTTCTCTTCTCTCAAGTGAGCCATGCTTTCAACRTGGAGCATTGAACCCCACCTGATGAGCAGCCTAACCTGCAGTGGCAGAGGCTGGTTCTATGGGAGAGGGAGACACAGGGCTTGAGGAAGTTGTATTTCTGTGTGAAACTTGGGAAAAGCTGAAGAGGAAATGTGCACCTCAGAAAACCAGTCAGACAGGGTGTCTTGTGACAGGATTGCAGCTTTTGGGGGAGAAGTTCTTGAAGTTTGTTAGATGATCTAGAGAATCCTGGTTAAGGGCACAAAAAAAATTCACTACTGTTAAGGAAGGGACTTGAATTCAACATTTGAAGGATAAGAGGCAAGCCCCTTTATTTTAGGGTTGTGATGAAAGGGGGAAGCACCTACAATTGTGTGTTCAAGAGAGGTTAGAGAGAAACTGTGCTGGCACTTTGCAAATGTGCAAAAAGCCTTCACAAAGGACAAGTTGTGGATTTCATGTCTGGGAGGAATGAGATGKGGCATCAGGGTCAACTTTGTGAGTCAACCAAAAGACTTTGAGTGTAAAGATTTCGAAGTATTGGAATAGACTGTCACAAGAAGACTTGTGACAAATGTATGTAGGAGTGGTCTGGATTTACTTGGCCCTGCTGTGGGCCATGAGGATAGACTGGATGATATCTCAAAGTCCTTTCACATCCACTTTTAGTTAGACCTAACTTTTTAGTTCTGTGGTGATGTATTGGTGAGTCACTCTCRAGCTGTGTGACTCAACTTGCCTAATCCAAAGTGAACTCACTAAATTCAAGAATAAATGGAAAGTTTAAAGGATCCTTTRGCTGTTGTTGCTTCACAACACCAAATATCCAGAGATATATGAATCTTCAACTGATTCTGTTGTGGGGCTTTTTTTTTTCCTGTCCCCTACCATGAAATGTATATACTTGTCTGAAATTAATCTTAAAATACAAAACTTCTGTTTTAAACAAGTACTTTCCTTAAACTTACATCTATATGTTATTATTTTCCCCTCCAAATATGCCTTTTTTCCCACATTTCCTCTTGATTGTTTTCTGTTTCACGTGGAACAGTTCACATTGAAATGTCTTAGTAAGTTGAGAGTAGTTTACACAACTACAGATTTTTTTCTCAGATCCAAACGTTATTGAAATTACCAGTCTCAGTTTTTCAGTGCTAGAAATTTATSGAAGTGTGCTGAAAAAAAATACAGCCTCTTGTTGATCATTTTGCAGAGACATGTTTKGAGTGCTTTATCTCTGGTTTTCTGYGAGTGGTGCCTACTTTAATTTATGGTAAACTTTGTGCCTGTTTGATTCAAAAGAAGCATTAATCTGTTAAAGGAAATAGGGGRTTCCAGACATTTGAACATTGCTGTTTTCCCTTTCCTGTCCCTCTCCACAACTCTCACTTTCTGGAGGATAGATAGTGAGTCTTAAAAACCTTTACTATATCTCAAGTAACTTCAGAATTACCTTGCCCTTGACTTTTTAGTGACYTGAGAAATGTCTTTGTCAGGTGAAACAAGGACTATAAGTACCATCCTGCTAGAGAAAGGAACATTYACTGCTGTAATARAAGTGCTTTGTCACCCTGGCTAAGGGAAACTGGAGCTACATTCCAGTTTTCCTCTCAAAATGCCAAAGAATGCAKTCAGAATATCCTGTGTCTGCTTTTACTGCACTTCTTGACAAGAAAAACAAATTAAATCCACCAGTAGGAGAGAGATCTCATACTTKATTCCCTGTTGCCTTTCTTTAACATCTAAAAGCAGGACTGTACACATCTTTACTTGGCATTACTGATTTTGTCAGCTTTAAATTTGAAAATGCTGGTACTTTGATTAAGTTGAAAGAAATTAGTCTCTGTCTAGCRTTTGTGGAGAGTGAGTTGGCAACATCTTCATTGTCAGCAAAGTGGCAAGCAAAATGTGAAGTTGTGAGCATCATCGGGAGTGTCCCAGTAGTATGACTTTCATTGTGCAATCAGTAAGAATGAGACAAGAAAGAAAGATGTTCCATAAAAGAGCATTGTGTGGGTAATTAAGGTGTGAGTGGCTGAACAAAACCAAAACTGTGGTGATTCTGGAGTTAGAAGCCAGGTTCTTACCTTACTGGGCAGGAGAAAATATATTTCAGGTTTGTCTGATATTCGTTTGTCACTTAGGTCAGAAAGTTTGTCTTCCTATGCTATGACTGATTTGAAAACTGCTTCTTAAAGCTCATTTTTATATGTAAGAAAAGTGTGACAACCATATGGCTACGAGTGAGGATTTGTTCTGTCTGGTGCATTCTTGCATACTGGTCCTGTGTGCTTGATCCATTTTCTTGTTCCACTTGGAGAGTCTGCCAGCAGTTGCTCTTCTTCCCAAAGAGTACCAGAGACTCTGGATCCTCCTGTTTGAATCTCCTGACCTTATGCAGGTCTGTGTTTTTTTGGGAGGCATTCCTCACTGAGTCTCTTAGAGTTTTTTAACTTTCCCCCAGTGCCATGTCCCTTTTCAGTGCGTGTATAGGGCAGTGTGTCTCTGGTTGCAGGTGAAGGAGGCAGTGAAACACGCCCTCAGCGTGGGCTATCGCCACATCGACTGCGCGGCTGCCTACAGCAACGAAGCCGAGATCGGRGAGGCCTTCCAGGAATGTGTTGGGCCCAACAAGGTAAAAACMCAGGAGCTGCCCTGCTGGCTGTGTGCTGTGCCAAAACTTACAGCTGTGACCTGTGAMGTTAACATTTGTGGCTTTTCCTGCTGGTTTGCCCCAGCTGTTTGCTATTTATCAGGGAGAGGCATGAAAGAGGGCTTTCTCTCCTCTTGAAACTCTCCTGGCTGTCACGGGAAGAAAAGATTGTCAGGGATATTTGGATGGGAGCTACAGAAAAYGCCTCTTCTGTTATTGTTGTTTTTCCCTTCCTGCCCCTTTTACCCTCACAAAGTATCCCAGTTTGAGTATTTTGGGGTTCCCAGAATCAGTAGTTAAAATGTAAAATATTTGCTATGATTTATATGAAAAGTTACTCTGACTTTCCAATCTAGCATGCAATGGTGGGTAGCCACAGCAAATTTGATTCTTTTGTTATTGATAAAACATCAACTGTACATTTTTTTGTTATAGATAAAATATGAGTGAGTAAATGTGGTGATTTTGAAATTTTTTAAACAGTGATTGCATGTGAAGGGTTCATAACTGTGGCTCCAGAGTCTGCACCAGAGAGTCTGAGGCCTAAGTATAAAGTAATGTGACAGGCATTCCTATGGATGAGCTGAGGTGGAATCTTAAATTTATTCCCTAAAGGGGCCAAAAGGATTACCTGTACAGCCTCACAGTCCATGGAAAGAAAGTTTTTATGTTCTTTCTTTGCTGCTGCGCTTGGCTTTAGGGMAGTCTCTTTGTTATGTAATATGCTTGAGAGAGGCAGTTTTCAGCTTGCCCCAGGGATTCCTCCCTAATAGAGATAGTACCTAACAAAGGGAAGCAGAGGCCTTTTGTTCAGTTCATATTAACTAGATAACTTAGAACTAGAATTTGAACTATTTTAAAAATAATTTTAAAATCTGTTCCTTTTAAGCACAACATCCTATGTGAAACATGGAAATAATTGAATGGTTGGAACAGAGAAACTGAGGAATTAATCATTCCAAATTCTTTAAAATATAGACTTGAGTGAAATTTTGTCAGATGTAAGACAGTGAGAAGCATCCTTTCTAATGGAATTCTCTGCTCCAGTTTGTCCAGTGTGATCTCCTTTTTGTGTTTTATACTTTCTAGATAACCAATTCCCCATTGTTTTATTTCTGGTTCTTATCCTTCCAATACAGGGTACAGGGCTCACAATTCTTAGTGTGTTCCTTCCACAGCCTAGAAACTCAAATGCAGAGGTTTGGGGAATCTTCTGTTTATTTTCCCATGCTCTTTCCACAAGAGGTTGGTTTATAGCACKTGATGAGTAAAGTAAGTTAACTGGTTGGGGCTGGAATATGTGCATTGTTGAACAGAAATTTTAAAATTTACATATGAATAAGTTGAGTAGTCTTTCTTTTGGCCACATCACACTTAGTGGCTTTAACCCTTGAATTGGAAGGTTTAGAAGAGTGTGTACATGGAAAGGATTGTTTTGTTTGTCAGAACTTCTAAAGTATTGTTCTAATAAATTGCTAAAGTATTTGATATACTTTAGGGCTTGCCATTGTGTGTATTTCTCTGGCTTTTCTCCATCCAGTATATTTTTGAAAGGTTTAATTTATAGGTTCCATATGTTATCTTTAAAAAAAAAACAAAACAGACAAACAAAACAAACCACAAAACTTCAGTTATTCTCTATGTTTTAAAACTAATTGGSGAATTATTGCAATTCTTCTTCTGAACTTGCTCCAGAATATCATGCTTTCCTTYCTTTCTCAAAGGTTATTAAAAGGGAGGACCTGTTTGTAACATCAAAGCTCTGGAATACCAAACACCACCCAGAAGATGTAGAGCCAGCACTAAGGAAAACACTTGGAGATATGAAACTGGATTACCTGGACCTGTACCTCATGCACTGGCCTCATGCCTTTGAGTAAGTTCTAGATGGAAAGGGCACAGAATGCAGAAACACAGGTTTTACATAACTGGCTCATGTTATATCCTGAGGACCTTCTTTCTGAGCTGTGAATTTCTTCCTGTTTATGCTGCCTGCAAGGTGKTTTTTTGGTGTTCAAAGTTTAAAATAGTCTAGTGTCTTCATCTGGGCCTTGGGGAAGTATGGCAGCTATTCTTGGCTCTGCCATTGGCCTACATGATAACCCCRAGGAGATCCCAAAACTGCTTTGTGCCTTGGTTGTACTGATCCATAAAATGTGAATGAAGTGCTTCATAAAGACAATATTTTTCATTTATTGTTATTTACTGTGGAATGGACAACCACATGCAGCATTGTGGTGGTATCTGTATGAGGAGGAAGTGAAATGACKTCACATGACACTCATTGCAGTAATTCCACGATTTGAGGAAATAAGAGACAAGAATGTTTTCCAGTTAAGTGCTAAATGCACTTACCCTACAATCCCATGAGAAGCACAGTTCCATACTCTATTTCCTTATAGATGTGGAAGCAGTTGTTCCCTCAACCAACTGCAAGCAGCAAAAAGGCAGGGGGAATAAATCTCCTGACCAGATGTTTGCATGGAGTCTTTACTCAAGCCCTGTCAATTTAAGGAGCCTCTGTTATGCAAATCAGAGAATGTTTCTTCTACTTCTAATCGTATAAGCTGAATTTTACAAGTGTCAAACATAATGATAAGATAAAAGATGCTCAAAGTATAAATATATTCCTCAGCATAACAGAATGAGGAAGTGTTTTTAACTACAACTGGTCTAGAGGAAGAGCTGTTAAAAATTCCCCCTGTTGTGCAACAGGTTTGCTTTTCATTTGCTTGAAAAAAACACTCCATCAAACATTGCTTTGATAATGACACATAACACAAATAATGATTTATGTTTAGATACTAATAATATTTAAATTTAAATGATGTGACACTGTTGACAAAACTGATAGTCTATAGAGCAGTTTTATTTCTTTTCTCATTGAAAACTGTATATTGTACAGTTTTCCATTATTTTCTACTTAACTGTTTTAATGCATGCTTATCTATAACGCCTGTTGCATTTGGAATCTTACTAAAAAAGAATGTTATTTACACAGAAATTAAAACAGACTTTCAGAGAAAAATTACAGTGCCTCTAGGTCTTGAAAATGGCTCTCATTTAATACAGTGCCCTTGACATAGGAGGCCGCTCTTCAGTCTTGGGAGCTCATAAAGCTTTCAGAGTTATTTTTGATTCTAGATTTATCAGTAACATGAAGAACCATCTCCCCTTGTCCCCAAGTACTGCCATTTCTCACACCATTCACTGCTTAGCTAGAGCAGGGTAAGAGTCTGTACATGCTAACCTAGCAGATGAGAATCTGTGGTGATCATGGAGCAGTGCTCTTCCAGTGGGATTGTTTGTACCCTTCCAAGCATGGACTGCTCAGTGACCAGGGGTCATAGCCAAACTTTGGCTGTGGTGGTGTCGCCTGGTACAACCAGGTACTCTGTGTCTATTTGCCTGASTTATTTTTGTTTTGTTTTTTAATGTGTTGGTATGAACAATTGGAAGGAAACACAACCAACCTATAAGCAACATGTACATGTAAGACCTCTGTGAGGATYTGTGCTTATATTGAGTACTGATACATCTACAGAATCCAGAGGGAGTAGGAAGSCCAGTGTCCTTTGAATGCTGTTTGCCCTACTCAGCTCTTAAAACCAGATCCCTTTGGTAGCAACTCAAAGCCACCCTCTGAGTTGCTGCTCCCRAAATCAGCTGTTTTATTGGGATCAAAGTGTGCAAAGAGCCGGGCTGTGTGTACAGTAGTTTATCTGTAGTCGCTGCTGTATAGGTAAGTACTTCAAAGTGCTGGATAACAACTTTACATAGGAAAGATTGTCTTGTGTAATGACTGCTTACAGGTTGAGTCATGTAATGGAATTGAACAGACAGATTGATTGTACTCTGCCCTTTTGATTATGTATAGACTTTTAAGAATACTTTGAGAAAGGTATTTTTAGTGAAGAACTAACATAATATAAAGTGATATATGTACTTATACTTCACCTTTGATCCTGTAGACGAGGGGACAATCTCTTCCCAAAGAATCCTGATAACACRATGCGTTATGATTACATTGATTACAAGGATACCTGGAAGGCTATGGAGAAACTGGTGGAAAAAGGTCTTGTGAAAGCCATTGGGCTGTCAAACTTCAACAGTCGTCAGATAGATGATGTACTAAAAGTGGCTACTGTGAAACCAGCTGTGCTCCAGGTAAGATGAATAAAGGAGACAAATACCTTTCCTATTTGTCCATAAGAGTGAAGAATTTGCAAACCAATGTTATGTGTTTAGCACAACAGGTGCAACTTCATATTTTCAGGGAAGAATATAGCCAGCTCTGAAGGAGCATGCACACAGAGGCTGTAGATTAATTTATTGGGAAGGAGGCCTACATCCATATTCTGTGAGCATTTATTTATGTCTGCTTAGTTGAACATTGTGGAAAAGTTCATCTTCYCTGTAAGGAACAATTTAGTCTGTAAGGAAAGATTGTGAGGGAGTATTGAATTCCTACTGCAGAGAAGTTCCTTGCTTGTGGGATGATCTGTTTGGTACCGAGGGCAAGTTCAGCATCAAGCTTAGGTGATCTGTTCTCTATTTCCTGTAAACTTAGCCTACCAGACACTTCTTTCTCCTGGTAGTGACTTGAGTTACTAAGCTTAACTTAAACCTTATCTTCATAAGGTTTTCTGGAATCTGCAATGAGCTCCTGTGATATATTTGGCTTTCCTGGTCTTGACTTTGCATTTCTTCCATTTTATGTTGATATGTGTTCTGTAGTCAGTCATTGTGGGTTATTTTAATAGGTGGAATGTCATCCTTACCTAGCTCAGAACGAGCTGATTGCTCACTGCCAGAAACGAGGACTGGTGGTCACTGCCTACAGTCCCCTTGGCTCTCCGGATCGCATGTGGAAACACCCAGATGAGCCTGTGCTTCTAGAGGAACCTGGGGTCAAAAAAATTGCAGAAAAATACAGCAAGTCACCTGCACAGATCATCCTCAGGTACAGAACAACTGTGAGAGAGATGGGGTTTGGGACCCAACTTTCAATAAAGCAAAACATACAAGCTAGAAGGAGTCCACTTAAAGTGTGTGCTCTTCCACATCGGGGAGGGGTTAAAATCACRAGGACTGCGAAAAGCAAACCCCACTTGGTGCTTGTTTGACAAAGCTGGTAGAATTGGTCCTGCCTTAGGGCAGGTAGATTAGATCAGAAGGGTCCGTTCAGATCTGTCTGGGACAGTTCCATGTACAGTTCCCATGTCTCGAACAGTACCTTTTCTGCTGGCAAATAGCAGTAGGACAATTAAGGCAGCAATGTACCGTGTCAGAGAGCTGTCAACTGAATTTGTGAGTGGCCAATGTCTTGAAGTCTCTAATGCTTGCTGCTGCACTCAGGTGGGCACCCAGGAAGAGGGGCTGAGGAAAAACCTACCTCCTTTGCACTGAAGAGCTGTTTGTTGTTTTGTTTTTATATAGCCAGCTACTACTGGGAAACAAGGTGATTGAGTGATCCCCAGAATGTGATCAGCACCTTGTAAAGTAAAGTTGGATTTCTATCCTTATTTTTCTCAACTGGCTTTGTATCCTTCAGTATCACTACCAGAGTCTTAGTCAATAGCAAAGTTACTCAGACAGCTGAACATGCTCAAGATTTTGTGCTCAAGCCACTAGACAGRCTCTTCAGGGGTCTGGGTTTTCATCTAATTTCTGAGTTGTCMGGTTAGAAGTTGCTTTAAATACCTACGTATGTTTTTCTGACTGTTTCTTGGGTTTTCAGCTTAAAACACATGAGACCTGGATGCTTGCTCCAAGGSATGCTCATCTTCCCCTCTCTGATTAACTCAGGGGTTACTGTTTYGCTTGGGCTTGGACACACCAGGCCCTAATACAATATACAGCTGTGCCATGCCTCCTCTGGGGATTTTTATTTCACAGAAGTGGCATCTTTGCTGCCACAGATYATTACTCAAGCAAAATAAATACTTATTATTCTTGGACTGCACACACCAAGTTTCCCTCCTCCTCTTGCAGATGGCAAGTGCAGCGTAAAGTGGTTGTCATTCCCAAGAGTGTCACTCCTGCTCGCATTCAGCAGAATCTCCAGGTAAGCTGAAATGGAGGAAAGGAGTTTCAGCAATGCCCTTTTCATGTATATAATTGCTATACTGCCCTACAATTTGCAGAGCAGCAAGCTGAGGCACATGGTTCRTACTTGTTCATCAATGTATGCACATGTTGGGGAGGGAGGGTAAAGATCTTTTTGAAAACAAACTATGGGTTTTAAGCAACTCAGTATGTGCAGATGTTCACATGCACAGTCTTGTTATCAGWAGGTAAAGAATGTACTTTGTAGAGGTCTAAATGAAAAATCTGTACTTAAATTTTTTTGAGACATATATTTATTGAAATAGGGAATSTTCTAATTATGCTCAGTGATTCTTACTTATGAGTAATAGTTACTCTATCCTGCAAGGGAGGGCTGGTGACTATTTCTGCAGCAAACTGCCATTCTAGTGATGCAGAAGGAATAAGTGTGGTTCACTTCTGCCCTGAAGTGAGATTTGGGAAATTATTTGAAAACTCTTGATTTTAAATAAWCTTGAGGAATGTTTCTGAATTACCTTCTGGGATCTTTTTTCATAAGGATTGGCTGGTTACATACTTGTTTTTAAGTTAGGAGTTGTTTTTGTAACTGTTACTTCCAGTAATCAGAATTCTCCTGTGTCATGTGCTGCTAGAAATCTCGAGAAATTCCCATAAATTCCACAGTCACTTGAGGTTTAGATCTATATGGAAACAGAATATTTATTGAATAGGCAGCACTTACTGTGAGGAACAGTTGCACTGTTTTCTATCTTGGTGGCAGAGCACTATGCAGTACCAGTGTAAACTTAGAGCTGGCAGATGTGTGAACACTCAGACTTTAAGCCTTTGCTTTAGAGTTTAATTGCAACTTCATATTTAAAAGCAGACGACAGACTGATAGCAACCTGTGGTTATTGAAWAAAGCCTCTGGCTTTTGTTCTCAGGTATTTGATTTCAGCCTGACAGAAGAGGAGATGAGCCACATTGGAGCCCTGAACAAAAACTGGCGTTACATCGTACCAATGATTACGGTAAATTTCTCGTGTTTCTAATAGTTTTCATTATGTGCATATGGCCACCACTCTTTTTTTACACTTTTGATTTTTTTAGTGTTCCCATCAGAACTACTTACTCATAAGAACTCTGCATTTTCTTAGGGTATCTGAGATGAAAAGCTGGGTACAGAAAAGGCAACTTATTGAAAACTTTTGTCTTTSATTTTGGACAGGGGGGATCCTCTCTTGAGTTCCCATTACTGAGTCATCTGTGGGTCTTTAATTCAGAGTTCCATCTTACTTCAAACCTCACCAGACCCTGTTGATTTGTTCTTCTCAAGTTCAAGCAGGCTAAAGTCCATGGCATTCCTCCAGAAGTATTCCTTGATCCAGCTGTCACTGTCTACTTTGTACCATAAACCTCTAAGATCAGTGAAGATTCAGGGTGCTGCTGGTTATCCACATCCATTATGGAAGTCATATCTGAGAATTTCTCCCCTCCCCTCCACTGCCTTTCCCCCGTTCAGAATCTGTTGTAATGACCTTCCTCCAAAGTCAGGAGTTTGGATTAGGTGTTGTATTTTTCTTTCCAAATCCATTTGCTGTGGCATCTTTTAGCATCAGTAATTTACCATGTCACACAAACCCTTTCCTTGTGTGCTAGCAGATGCCAGTTTGTTTTTAGAGAAACTAGTACACTGTAAGTGTTGAAGTTCTCTTGGTCTTTCTTTTACTATATTGGGTGACCTAAACTTGTTCTTTTTCCCTCATTGCAAAAGAAAAGACMGTGCCTTGTTGTTTCCTGTCTTTGTAGTGTTTCTCACCTCTTCTTGTCTGCTTCTGACTGTGCAAGGGAGAGCTGTTGCCATTCTCTGCCTCACTGGCCAGGATATGGCAACTGTAGTGAGTTGCTGTAGTTGTGCTATAATGAATCTGAAGTGCTTCATCCCTTCTCTGCCATACAGTAAATCTCAGGAAATTTGGGAGCTGTCAAGCATAGCCTGGCCTCTTCAGCACTTTGCCTGTAAATTATCCTTCAATAGTGGCTGGTTGGCTATATGAATTCCTTGGGGAAAGCTTTTCTCAGGATTTATCATTGTGGGTTTTTTTGAATACTTGGGAGTATAGCAGTGACCAACCTGAGTTAGAAAAGAGAAGCTGAATGTGTGGTGAGTATGTGTCTCATACTCATACCCTCATCAAGGGTAGATACATGTTACAGCTTTCACTGTTGGTCATGTTTACATGASCCTCAAGGCCATCCTTTTAACTATGTATGTGTGCACAAAGATAAACCCCCACATCCCTGCAGCCAAAACTCTCTGTGTTTCTGGATGAGGAGTCAGTACACCAGACAACAAGCTTAGCTGCTGATCTGTGTGAGTGGTGTAGTGACAAGCACACCTGCTGCTGACAATATGTTTCTTTCAAGTGTTTTGCTACTCATGCTGCAAACAAAGTTGTTTTATTAATGAAACTGCAAAACACATTAAAATGTAGCCTGCTTGAATAAGCCAGGGATAATTCATTGTGCTTTTATTACCTGGGAGACCTGATYAGATCACAGGGATTCACAAAGGAGAGATGAAATACAGTTCAAAGTGGCAGCCCATCCAGCTTGAGAAAGGGTGAGTGTGATGCAGCTGGGCTTCAAAGATATTGCCATATTGTCAGATAACAAGACAGGAGGAAGCAAGATGAGGAGAGTTAAATCACGACTCTATAGCTCTAAGATCTCTAGTGGAACCTTTTGTCTCCTGCCCATCCCTTCTGGGCTTATTGGAAATAATTTCCATCGACTGTGAATTAAAATTCCTGTCTAACCTTTCATGCCTATCTCCTCTATGAATCTGACTTAATGTCTGGATTCCAAAGTGCAATATGGCAGTGACATGAGAGCTCCTATCACAACTGAACTGATGAGACAGTTCTTCCTTGCTTTACTTCATTGATCTATAGCCACAAATTCTTATGATTGTGCCACTCTCTTCCTCTTTGTGTTTTGTTTAAAACCTGAGGGGAGGCTGTTACATTGTATATAGACAATTAAAGTTGCTTTATACTTTCTGAGTGTTCATGATCTGGATAGAGGTTGGAAATTACCTTGCACCACTCTGAAATCCAAATTTTTGGAAACACATAATTGGCCAAGGAGTATCCTTAGGTGAAACTTCAATGACAGACAAGCCAGGAGAGGAATGTGGTGAGCACTTCATGATCTATTTTTGATAGTTAGCTAACTGTTGACCTGCAGGTGTGTTCACTGTGATTKTATCCCCCCTCTCCTTGTCTCAAATTCCTGGAGTAGACTGGAATCAGTGATGTGAAACATTGCTTCTGGCAGCTGCTGTCTTGTCCTGCTGTGAACAAGAATGCTTGCCTGTGTGGAGAAATATGCAGGGGGATGGAACTGGGGAGGAGAAAGTGARGAATAGGAATTCTAGGAAGATGAGGAGGCTGTTGGCTCTCAAGAGAACTTGAGGAAATCTGAAGCTACTGTGGCACTTCTGTCTACAGTCTTACAGATTGCCTTTAGCTGACAGCTTCATTTCAGGTTTATTTTATTTTAATGGTAGCATTAGTCAAATGTTACACCGTAACATCTTGGTTCTGTGCTCTGCAGTGCCCCCAGGTGACTAATTTCATTTAAACAGGTCATTTCCAGGAATTCCATTCGTTTTGAAATGCAGGTTTTCTATTCAAAGCTAATGGGGCATTTGCTAGTGAATACTTGGTTTGAAARTCCCAGTGATTTCCTCTGCACCCATACCATTTTGATTGATCTCTAACATCACATTTATATGGTTAAAAGTCAATGATTTCTCTGACATAACTTTTACTCAGACAATAGTTGTTTAACAGAAGTTTTAGATAAGTAATGCTTGCTTAACACCTGGAGAGGTGTGTGCTCTGGGCCAGTGCTGAAGCCAGACTTCCCCAAACATTACAGATGAGGTTTTATCTCAGCATCTCGGAAGTTGGGGGTGTTGCAATGGACSTGGTGCAATTAGAAATGCGACTTGTGTATCTGAATGCTTCAAGGTGGGATGTAGGAACTGAGACTTCTGCATGGCCACGTTTGGTTATGGGCGATCCTGAGCCTGTGATTATCTGTGAATATTGATTTCAGTGCTCCCATTTTACTGCTGGATAAGCTGGTCTTTTGTGGMAATGTTGCTAAAAGGAGTTCAGTGACACTATTAATGCTTCAGCATATGACCCTGAACAAGCCTCTCAATGTGTTTTATCTTATCCATCTCCAAAATTGGCAGCCCAGCAATTCTCTATCCTGGAAACATGGACAAAGGCTCCAGCTCCAGTAAAGTGTTCTGAAGTGTGCATGTTACAACATTTTCTCAATAACAGCTACAAGGCAAAAGGCTTTTAACTATTCTTAATCTAATTCTTCAAGTCTCTGCAGCTTGAAAGACTCTTGCTCTAGGCTACAGCAGTCTGTATTTTCTTTCAAGAAATGTTAAGAGGACTTAAGAGTAGAGGGAGGAACTCTTGTTTAAGCTGAAAAATATACTCCCAGATGTTTGGAATACAAAGATTTAAATATCTAAACCATGGAGAAATTGAAACTGAGAGTAAGAATGGATTTTACCTTTCTGACTTTAGATTCTGTCTTGTTTTCTTCACAGGTGGACGGAAAGCTGGTTGCCAGAGATGCTGGACACCCCCACTACCCCTTCAATGACCCCTACTAACTACTAGAAGATATGATGTCAAAGTAACACATTCCTCTGCGTGCCCTTCCACAAAGTAATTGTTGCCACAATTTGTCAWAAGCACGGTCCAAATTGAAACATTTCTTTCAAGCTGGTTTTTCCCACAATGTACTTTAAATCTRTCTTCTTCCTGGAGATCCTGTAACTTCTGTGCCAAAGTTTGTGGATTTATTACAATGACTGCAAGCTGGCTCCTGGAAGCATCAGATCTTTTGGAGATTAGATAAAGAGTGATGGAGTCTAAATCAAATTCCAAGCATATCGTTATCAGACTAGGGCATTACTTGGTAATTACTTTAGTCACTAATGTGAAACAGTTTAAARCTTTAGTTACTACCACGTTGAGGGAAAGAAAAGAGAGAAGGAATGGAAGTTTTTTAAGGCTAAAGAATTGCKCAGCCATCAACTTTGATATCTTTATTAGTAATTTTTTACACAGGTAATAAAGTGAAATGTGGTTTATAGACATAGTGCCACGGTAGCATTCATTAAACCCCAAGTAATGCAGCTACACCCAGTGCTTTTATCCACTTCATAGTACTTGTGGGACTTAATTCTCAATTTTCTCTTTGTTTTAATTTGCCTGTAGATTTGAGCAGAATGAGAGCAGACCCTGGAGCAGGCCTTTAGGGCAGTCCTCTCTCTCGTTTGTTACAGTGCTGGGTTTCAGCTCTGACAGTAGYCATGATACTCCTATCATAAAAGACACAAGAACTTTCCAGCAATTCTTGCAGAAAAACATCCTGCTTTTCCCATGAAATGTCCAGTGTTTCTYTACCAAAGATGTCCATTTCGAGTTCTGGAAGGTCACAGAATTGGTTCCTGTACAGTATAAGCGAAGACCTTTCAGCGTCCCTCTGTTTTAATGTTGCATTTTTGACTGCTGCCAAAATTGTCTTYGGTTAATGCTTGGGAGATCTGCTCCTGCTGTACCACTGAACTGCTGGTAACACAGGCTGAGTTATTTGCCTTTTATGTCTCTGTGTTCCCCCTAACAGGGACTAATTTGCTGAGTGCTGATGCACCCTTGAGCAGGACTGGAACTCCAGCTCTAAGCACAGTTTTGTTTCAGTCTYTTCATGAATTGCCTGGTGATCTGAGCAAAAAGGGATGAGGTGTTAGYACCTACCTGTGCTCTGGCGGTGATSCCTTCTGTGGCCTTAGCAACACCAACACTTTATTTTGGTCCTCTCTACATGTTAAATAGGATTAATTTTTCCCATAGCAGTAGCAAACAGAAAAATAATCTTATATATTCAAATAGTTCAAAAGTTAGAGAATTAGACACTTTAATTTGGCTAACCTCATTTACAGTAGGTCTGTAGTAGATCTGTGTATTCATCCTGAGTGTAATGCCTTCTCAGGTCATTCCTGCCCTGGGCCTCACAGTGTGCAGCTGAACTGCAAAAAAAAAGAGTGACACCTATTTATCACTCCTTGTAATCTGCAGGCAAAATTGAAGGAACTTCTGTTCCTTGGTAAAATGTTTCCTAATTCCTGATGAATTTGCCTCAGTGGAGGAAGCCATTGCACCTCCTTTAGGATTCTTTACTAGCCTGGACGTTTTCTCCTAAGGAAAATTGAATTCCTGTTGTTTTTTATTATTGTTCAAATCAAACACGCTGACAATTGAATATTGTTTTTGTTGCAATCATTAGGGAAGCAATTGTACTTTAAAGGCACTCTGACTGCAGTCATCCTGCCAAGTACAGTGGCTTTTCTTGCTTGTTTCACTTGCATGTTTGCTTCTCTTAAATAAATTCTTTACTCATTGTATGACTKGGAGACTTTTTTCCCCCTCTTATGTCAAGGCCCCAATTAACTTTGTACAGTTATGTCTCCAAGCAAGAGTAGTGAAGTGGGCTGGGAGCATTCCCAAGAAAAGCAGTTGATTCCCTAGTTCTGTAAACCCCACGCTTCCTCGCTCTACTACTGAAGGGAGGAACAGAGCTGGGTTGAAGCTGGAGAACTTTTACCTTGAAATAGCAGAGCCTGGAGGTCTCGATGCTGAACCGTGCTGTGCACAGGGCAGCGGCTACATCAGCCCTAGGTGCTCGGGTGTATGTGCCGGTGGAGAGCCGAGCGTCTGTGTGGGCTGGGCCGAAGCCCGGGCCTGCTCGCTTGGAAGAGGCCGCGGGTGGATGCAGAGCCCGGGCCGGGGCGCCAGAGCCTCCCGGGCCCTCGGGCTGGGGCTGAGGGGCTCCGGCGTGAGGGAGCGGGACTGCACCTCCCGGCATGCCCCGCGGGACYCCGCCTCCTTCACCGGCACTACACTTCCCAGCGCGCCCCGCGTGGCGGCGCCCCCGGCGTCCCGTGGCGGGGCGGGCGCGCAGCATGCCGGGAGCGGTAGTCCCCCCGCGGCGCGCGCGCGCCGCCAGGCGGGCCGGGGCGTGTCCTCGGGGGTATATAGTCAGCCGGAGGGGCAGGGGGCTGCACTCTGTCGCCGCCGCCCCTCTCTCCAGCAGCTTCTATGCAATCCTCGGCCGTCGCCGCTCCCCCCTGCGTTGAGCCCGCGCCGGCCTCCCAGACTAGGTAGGGTCGCGCGGGCTGGCCCCGGTCACGGTGTGTGCGTGTCGGGGACGGGGGGGGCATCAGGGCAGCGGGGGGGCGCCTTCGCGCTGCAGGGTACTGGAGAGGATGGGGGGGTTAGAGGGGCGGTGGGCCGGATTTCCTCAGGGGGAGGGCTGGGGGTTCTGCTCGGGCTGGCGCGGCTGCACCCCCTCCTCCCCCGCTTTCCTCCGCGCCGGCGGTGGTATCTGCCTCCCCCGTCACCCCCCTGCCGGTTGTGGTACCTGCCTCCGCCGTCCCCCCCGCCGGCGGTGGTACGTGCCGCCGCCCCGCTCCTCCGGCGCCAGCTGGGCCCGCGCGGCTCGCGCGGAGCCACCACGTGACCGCTGTGCGGCCGCCGCCATCTTTGTTGGGGGCAGCCGACGCCGCGGGGCGGGCTGGGGGGGAGGGGGCGGTGTCACGTGACCGGCGGCCCGTGAGGAGCCGCCGCCGGAGTTTGGCGCCAAGGGCGGGGGGCGGGGCCGGCGGAAGGCGGGAAAGGCTCCATTGTTCGCGCGGGTTCGGCCGGACRGGGGCTGACAGAGCCCTCTCACAGCCTCCCCTCGAACAATAAACACCGCGCTGAGGAGCCTGAGCCTACTCTCAGTGGATGGGCACCTCAGTCAGAGCACTCCCRGCGCTGATTTCGCTCCCTGAGAGCTCAGCTCCTGCCGTGAAATGGGTGGCTGGTTCTAAACATAAATAAAAAGRTTTCGATTTTCTGTTCGCAGAATGGAAGAGGAATTGGCAGCTCCTTCCACATCCACAGACAAGACAGACAGGTGAGATTGGAGCTGGAACTGTCAATTACCAAATAACACAAATATCTGAAGTTACTGAGTGATACATTAGGGTCACCCTTCAAACTGGTTCTTAGGCTCGGCATTAACTTCACGTGGGTGCTCTAGGTGCTGAAAACTGGTACTCACCAGTGGTTTGCACAAATCTGGTGCAGCAAAGCCTTTTCAAGGGCTGATAYATACACAAATACCAGCTGTCCTTGAAGTTGTTGGGTTTTGAATTAGTGCTGGAGAAGCACAAGTATGCAGCTGGCATGTGATAGATAGTATTTCTCTCTGGGCACCTCCTCTTGTCYCAGTCTGAGAATCTGAGCTGGAACCTTCTAGAAATGATGCTGTGCAAGATGCACTGAGTTGAAACTGAGACTTGCATCTATCMTTCTCAGGTGCACCGTGCTGTGCAATGAACAGTTTTTCCTTGAGTTTATTCCTCTTTTTCTTGACTAGTACTGGAGTCTGAAACACTAGTGCTCAGTGGTGCGTTGGTATGCAGCTCCTAAAGTATATTCTTTAGTATCCTTTGTCATAGCAGATTCTGACACTTCTTGCAGTGATTGGATAAAATTTGCCTGTCTTCCCTTGGTTATTGGAACTATCGGTTGTTCTAGATTTATACAAACAAAACAAAAACATCCCCCTACCCTGGTAGGTCCAACCACTGTACTGTATGCAGCTCACTATACCATAAAGCTGACTAGGTTTTGAAAGCTGAAGTTACTGTGAAAACTAATAGAATCATGCATTTGATTTATTTCCCCTTCCTCCAGTATGGATGTGGATGGAGAATCAAAGAAACTATTGGGTTTGGGACAGAAGCACTTGGTAATGGGAAATATTCCAGCTGCTGTGAATGCATTCCAGGAAGCTGCAAGCTTACTGTGAGTAGTAGAATGTTCTGTGTGTTTTTGCAGGGCTTGAGCTTCAGCTTGGCTRCTCTGATGTGGGATATGCGAGAAAGATTGGGATTTTTACCTAAACTTTATATGCAAGTGAGGAGATGACACACTATTTAAAGTCAACCAAGAGCTGGATTATGCTGTACTTGGTGTGCTGTTTAGATGGCTTTTGTGATAGGCATTACCAGTACAGTTCCCTAAGGAGGAAAAGGATTTGATAGTTTATTGTGCAGGTGTCTTTTCTAATAACTTGTTCACTAATTTTGCTCAGTCTCTGAGAATAGTACTTTTTTGGCCATAGAAATATTTTCTTAGTTGGGTGTTTGAGAGCCATATCTAACTCAGAGGAGCATTCATTATACATTTAAATCAGTGGGAGATGAGCCAAGAAGGTGGTTCTTGTGTCTGGGAATATTTAAATTTCACATCTGTGTATCAAAATCTCAAGTAGGCATAGGCAAGTAATTCTTCGTTATTTTTGTAGGGGTAAAAAGTACGGTGAGACAGCAGATGAGTGTGCAGAAGCYTTTTTTTATTACGGAAAATCTCTCCTGGAGCTGGCAAGGTACAGTGACAGTTTGTCATTTGGTGAAGAGTCTGTCTGGTGTAACAGGATTTCACTCTGTTGTGGATAGGGTTGCACTCGGGTTTGATACACACAGGGTTGYCCTGGGTGGGATGGGCTGTGGCACTGCAGCTTGTGCAGTTCAGATGATGATATTAAAAGAGCCAAGGGATAACAAACTTSTGTTYCCTTTAGAATGGAAAATGGTGTGCTKGGAAATGCCTTAGAAGGAGTGCAGGTGGAAGAGGAAGGAGAAAAAACAGAAGATGAATCTGCATTGCCAGCTGTTGATGGTATGTAAAGCTGCCTATCCTGCCATGGAGGCAYCAGGTTGTTTTCTTGTTGGAATGATCCAAATTTAGCCCAYTGSTATTTTGGGTAGCCTGAATTAGTCTTTTGAAACTCTTGGCAGTCTGAATGGACTCTGTTTCTGGTTTGTGTTGTTTTTTTTAAAGATGGGCAAAACCTGTAAAACATCTGCAAGGAGCTGGTCACTGAAAGCATGTGTAAAGGGTCACCAGGTGTCTGTGTCCTGAAACACCGCATTCAAACTTGCTTTCTTAAGCTTCGCTGCTGGCTCCAGCTGCTTTGTTACCTTGTAGCAGGACTGTGTGTAGTCCCACAGGTCAGAGTCTCTGTAAAAAGTTGCAGAACAG